CTGGGGTGGGGTGGGGGGTGGAGGCCGGGTATTTTGCGCAGATAGTCTCGCGCCCGCTCCCAGGGTTCCATGGGAAACGCTCGGGGGCGCACCGCTGGCCACCTCTCTCCCACGGACCGGGGCGCCCCAACCTGGACAATCCCGCTCCCACCCCGTGGCGCCCCCGGCCTCAGGCGCACGGGAGGGCGAGCTGGAGCCGCTGAACGACACGGAACCTCGGAGCCTGGGCGTATCTGAATTTCTTCCCGCTGGCTACGCGTGGGCGAGCCATTCGCCTTCCTCCAGAGCTAACAGCCACGATCTAAGGATCGCTTTCAGAAAGCAGCAGGAAACTTACAGTGGGGCTGCTCCAGGGGCTCAACCGCAGAGTAAGTGTGTGTGTGTGTGTATGAGTGTGTGTGTGTGTGTGTGTGTGTGTGTGTGTGTGTGTGTGAGTGTGTGCGCGCGCGCGCCCGTGTGTTAATTACTGCATGGCAGTCTAATTTCTGTGGTCCTTACGACTGCCGCACCTGGGGAAACAGTGCCCAAGGGGTCACCACCGTCTCTGCACGTCAGGAGGTCAGTGCCTGGAGCCGTAATTCATGGGCTGAGCAGCCTCACCGTGACATTGGTGTAAGGGGCTAGGAAGCAATGGGGTTATGTGGTTTCCGGCTATGCATTTAAATGTGTCATTTTCTTGCTCACTTGTTTTCACATTTGATCCTTCATTTTGCACTTGATAAGCAGTGTACCTCTTCTGAAGTAAACCAGGAGGTTGTACATTTCATTCATATATATATATATATATATATATATATATATATATATATATATGAAACTATATATGTATATATTAAATTAGAGCTTCGTTTATAACATATCTGTAGTGATTTTTCAGGGTTAGTTCTCTGATGGTGATTTCATTAAATGTCTACCTACTTATTAGGACTAGTCTTGGTAGGAAAATCGTTAACCCTCTGGTTACATATATAAAATTTTGAAGCACTTAATGATAGATATAGATTTAATATCTTCGTTCATACGATAAAATTAGTCTGTTGCTTTTCCTAATATGGTTATATTTTTTCCTTCAGCTGTGGTATTGTAGGTACTATATATTACGAAGAGTGGTCAAAACCATTAACAACGTAAAAACAATACGAATGTCTACAATTCCAAAGCAAACCTTATTTGTCAAAAAGCTATATAAACTTGACTACTTCTCAGTGGAGGTTGCCTGTGTGGTCTGTGTTCTGTTCAGTTCCCAAACAGCTCGTTCTGTGGATGTGCTTCAAGGAGTCCTGACGGACGTCCCTGAAATTGTATTCACACATCTGAATTGCTGCATTTTTAGGGAAATAGTCTGGAGCCCTCAGATAGCCAAAGAGATCTGTGACTCATAGAAAAATAAGAACCACAAAGTTAAATATATAAAGTACACTTTTTCTTGTCAAAACAATAAGCTTCCTACATAAAGCCTTCTGGCAAGAGAGCAGGAAAAATCCTAGAATAAGTAGTGTTACAATAATGAGACATGTCATTGAAAACAGACCCACTTGTGTGATTTTAAATATGTCAGATAGGAAACTTAGGTTGGTGCAATTTATTTAGTAGAAACTTATGATGAATAAATGGGTATCTTCTGTTTCTTCTTGGACTGTAAGATCTCTTTTTAGTCTGGTGTATGACAAAGAAATAAAATTATATTTCTCTCTTTGAAACCCAACAAAAATGTAAAGTACTTATGCTTGCTGTGGTGGTTCATAGTGTATGAATGTAAAGAGCCTGTGTCTAGATGTCCAGGGAGAAAATAACTGGTCTAAGACAAATGTCATTTACAGAATGCGGAAGGAAATGTAAAGACATTCCACTTATACCTGGCAACGCCAAAGGAAAAAGAAATGCGGGAAACTTCAAATGCTTAGTACTCATATTTCTTATGACTATGGTTTATTAAATGATCTTGCTTTAAGGTCTTATTTTGAAACCTGTTTTAGTTAATATTACCTTCTACTAAAAACTAAAGAAGCAATAACTAAAATTATATTATGACTATGCCAATAAAATATTATATGACTAAAGGTCAACAGTTTTGTCATAGACACTTTCAAGCAAAAAAATCTTTTTTGATTTTGTCTGAAACCATACAAGAGAAATTAAATTCTATATTTACATTTGTAGACTGCATTCCCCAACAATTAATGTGAGTACAGGAAGGAGAATACTGACATTTTTACATGTTATTTTAAAACAACAGCTATACCCACCAAGTTTCTATTTAAACTTTTTCAGAAATAGATAAAAATCAAATTAGCCTTAAGAATTTATTTCTCTAGGTAAAGCGAAATGGAGATTTAAAGCAATATTTGAAAATTCCAAGCCAAAAAGTATGTTATTGATGGGACAAAATATTGGAGGAAATTATTTATTCAGAATATTTTCTGTATGTCAGATTTTCCAGAAAGTTTCTATGCTTTTCTTTTATCTGCTAGGATATATAACTTTTATAGCACTGATTTTCTGTCACTTAAATTATAAATATTTACCCAAGCAACTTTTTTAAACATTACTATTTATTACTTTTCTGCATAGTTGTAGAAACTGATATTTTTAATTCTAAATTATCAATAATGTCAATGCTTATTAGTCTCTAGAGTCTAGACTATCTAGATTTATTCAGTAAGTATTGATTAGGAGCCTGTCCAATAGTTTTGTTTTGGTTATCTTCATTTTGACCTGATGGAAGAAGAGGTTTTAGCAATTTTTAGGTCTTTAGATGAACAAATTTAGTTGCCCATAGAGTAGTTGACTTAGTTTGGCTTGGAGTAATTTTTTGGCTATCCTGAATCACATTTGCTTCTATTTCTCTCAACAGTTTGGAAGTATCTGACCTATGCCATATTTTTCTCTCTCTCTCCTGGTTTCAGGCCAATAGGTTTTATCTTCCTATGGATGGCATTATTTGCAAGGAGTGAAGAGCTTTAGACTACATTATAAAACTCGAGGGTCTCTAGGGCATGCCCCCGCCCCCCTCCCCCAGCCCTTCCCATAAAAATGTGATTCTCACTCCTCATAATTACTAACTTCACCAACCTGGAATGCTTTCTGGTCATTAATAATCTTTTTTTAAGATGAACCCTCCCTTTCAGAAAATCAGAGGCAACTCAAATTAATTAGCTCACATACCACCTCTTTCTTCTCACCATAGTAGGAATTAGCAAGAGGCCAACAGAAGACAATGGCTTGGGAAGGGAACACCCTGGGGAAAAGAAGTTGGGTAGATCAAGGAAAAGTCTTAATCCTGAAATTATTTCCAGGTCTGACCTAACCTACATATTCCCTTTCGCCATGCTACATTGCATTAAAAATACTTGTTTAGGTGTCTGTATCTTACTGAACTCCAGCCTCCCTCAGGATATTCATCATTGGACTCAGTGCCTGGCACAGAGTAAGTGTCTAGTAAGTGTAATTGTATGATCCTTGTAATTATTGAGTTAAGTTTTTTATGCCTTGATCCTATAGGTTGTTCTGTTTAAGAATGCAATTTAAAGAATGATATTCATTTTGCAATGACCCTCCATGGAATATTATGGTTTTCTCTCAGAGATGCCTTGCAGCCTATTCAGAACTGCTTGTAAGCTGTATTTCTCTCACTATTCCCAATTACCCATTGTCTTTCTACATTTACAACCTTCATTAATGTTATCTATCCTGTCCCCATTACCAATGCTTAATGGCCTGAGATTCCACTTTCCTTAGGAATCTAAAACAATGGAGGTTTTTCTTTCTTCACTTTAGTCAGCTGGAATTTTTCAGGATTTCATTGAACATCTACATGTTTGGTTTTCACAGGACCTTAACCTGCTGCCCTGCCCTTCAGGAATCCACTGGTATTCACCCACCTAGGCCTTCATGTCACTCAGAATTACCCCAGCCGAAAAAGCTGAGAATCTCATATTCTCTTTCCGACCACAATCTCCTATCTTTCCAATAATTCCACTCACTCCCCGTTACCTGACACCATCCTCTTCCATTATTTTTCTTTGACTACCCTTAATTTTTTCATATTTCTCATTTTACTTATCATCACAGTAGTCTTAGCAATGTCAACTCTGCTCCAACCCTCAAATCTCCTGCCCCTAGAACCTGATTCACTCTAACCTGATTCAGTTGAAGGGATGGTTAACAGTGCTAGAATTTGTTTCTTTCTTAGATAATTCCATATCAAAATCTCTACAGTACATGTTCCAGATTTTTCCAGGTTTTCCAGTTCACTCAAATTATCCTTATTCTTTTCTCCCTTAGCAGATAAAGTTATTTCTGAATTCATAGAGAATATGAAGATTAATTTAGGCAAACTATTTATCATGATTGATCTTCAGTCTAAGAGGCATGTCTCTATTTGTTCTGTTTGTAGCCTAAGGACTATTTTCTTATATTGAACTATACTATTTGTTTTCTATCAATTTATATCCCAATTTTTACCTCTTAGAATACCTATACAAAATGCTTTTATATATGACACCTCTTCTAGTCCCTATGGTAATATTCAGTTCCTTCAACTCATCCTGAATTGGCAAGGTTTGAGAGTCTCATTCTTTCTTTGCATTCATACTACACTATTTAATTATGCATCTTTTTTGCTTCTTCTTGTGTAAATATACGTCTCCACAATTGTACACTTGGCCACTGGATTTAGGACTTTTAAAAATACTGCAATTAAATTTAACCTTTACCTTTAGTTAGCCCATTGTTTCGGAAGGTCAAGCTATTTTTGGATTCTGATTCTATGATATAGATTAGCAATTCTTCACAATGTAGAGGCCTTAACAGATTTGGTCAGGAGGTAATTAATAGCTTCTTCTGAGTAAATGTGTAGAATGCTGAAGTGAAAGGACTTTTGGCATGATCCTGGCCACCTTCCTCTTGCTTTTCAAGAGTCCATGAGTTAGTCCCTTTTATGAGGCTGTTCAACCAGTTATATAGTCAAGTAACTCTCTTTCCTCAGAGTTTACATTCCTTTGTGTGGCCCAGGAGTATACTCTCACACACTTGGTCGAATTCCTTGCTGAAATGCATTTCTACTTTCTGCAGAATAGATATCAAGTAACCTTATTAAAACCAAGAGGAAATAACACGAGCTTGTAGGTAACGACACTTCACATTTTGAGTGCTCACATCCATAGTTTTAAGAATCTCTTGGGAATCATGTCTGGAATTAATGTCAAGCTCTCTGGGCTGGAGTTGCTGGAATCTACCTTCTCTATTTTGAAAATTGAGACAGTGGCTCTTTGTTCTCTGTCAACCATTCTATTCACTGTAGTATCTGTAAAGATAATTTACCATACCTACAAATGCTTTCAGTACTTTGCAGTATAATTTCTCCAAA